GTAACAGTAAAAATAGATGAATCAATATCCCTTCATATTATGTCTGTGAAGGTTCTCAGTCATCCAGGTCATCGAAGTCTAAAGAGCCTGGAAAGAGAAGTTTCTTGAAAAACTTCAAGAAGTCCACACATTTTTCTTTCTAAGCTGCTTAGATCCCTTCCTATTAATGGGAGGTGGATCTATCAGTCAGAACAAACTTCTGGTGTTAGATTTATTCAAAAACCCATCCATCCATTTATCCTTCTCAGGGGCGCGGCAGCCTACGGAGCCCATGTTGTACTCGTATAACGATGCATGTGACAAATAAATAATTTTGGATCTTGAATTTAGTTTCTGGTTTTCTTTAATGAGTTTTAGATCTTGGGTTTTGTTATTGCGCCTCCTTTGTGCTCCATGTGTCACGTCTAGTCAAGTTTTCATGTCTGTTCTCATGGTTTCCTTTTTAATTTTGCGTGTCTGTCTCACAGATGCAGGCTCGCCCCACCTGCATTTGAGCCGTTTCATGACAGCTGCCGGTCACGGACAATGACTCCCACTCTCTCCATAACACACTGAAGAGCGATTTCTTCAACCTTGCAGTCTGAGGGAGTGACACAGGAGGTTGTTCCTGCCTCCCTCTATCAAACTAATGCATCTACTTGGGTCAGACCCACACACACTGAACCAGACACTCTGTCACTTTTTGTTACTCCATAAAGTATATTTGTGCACCTGTGCACTCACACCTGCCCAGAAACATTAGTGTTAATACTTTAATATTTATGTTCATATCTCTATTTCTACACTTTATATGATTGCTTGGTGTCTGTTGTACGTTTCATTGATTCTGATTCTGAAATAGTCAACGATTTGATCTAGCTAAAAATTAAGCCATGTCCGAAAAACAAATGCTTTATTCAAATTGGAAAGACAGCAGCAGTGTGGAGGATTCAGTCAGCAGTTTGAAATAGTGCAGTATATGCAGTTTCCTGTAAGCTGTCAAGAGTCTTTTATCTAACTTAAACTTGTGATGTTACTATTCTAAAACTAATTCAAAGCTCTGAATTTCTAAAATAACAATCACAACACATTAAACGTTCACAAGATGACCACAAGATGTCTCTGCAGCACGTGCCGTGGACAGCGCAAAAAGCAAAGAGACACAAAGCAGGACAGACAAATGCGCCTGGAATGAAAGTGCGAGAACAGAGATGCTGTTGTTGAAGGTGAAACATGAGTATCAACATACTTTAGCTGCAGTATAGTTTGTAGCCAGTGTGACATAAACTAACTAACAACGCGCAGTGAATGGTAGCTACACAAAAGCCTGTTTCATCACGTATTTGACCCCAGGATCTATTTTTTCTCCAAGCTTCATTTTTTAATTGTAGTGAACTTCACGTAGCTGCCTGATGCGCATTCTGCTCATCAGTGGACTGAATTGTCTTTGGGTCATCAGTAATAAAACGCCTTCAGACGACTGTGGTTGTGATTTGGCGCTATATAAATAAAATAGACTTGAATTGAATCAATATAATTCAGGGTTGTATATTATAGGAAACGTGTTGAGACATTTTCCAGCTCACATGTATTCATTACTGTTTCCCCCAATACCGAATTTAAAACTTTTTTTATTCAGGAGCTAAAGTTAAAAACGGGAAAGTGGGTAAGTGACGTGTCCGTGATGGTGTTTGTGTGGCGCAGAGGAACCACATGAAACGGTAACTTCAGAGGTCTTTCTCAGCCGTCTGCTGAGCCAACAGGAGCAGTGCAACAAGGACGCCCTTTGTTTTCTTCACTAACCGGACACCGCTATACGAGGAAGACCTGCTGAACCGCACCGTGAGTGTATTTTACTTTTAAAACATCCAAACAGCGACGTTGTAAACTGCGCAACATCAGGGTGTTAACCTGGAGGTGGCAATAAAACGAGGCAGTCTGATTTCCCTTTAATGAAACATAAAACTTGAATCTGAAGTTAAGACAAAATTATCAGAGAGAAAGATTTGTGACAGGTTTATTACAGTTTCACTGCAGTGAAGCATTAACCTGCCTCACGCCTGTACCTTCTTACTAAAGGTGTAAAAGGTGGCACTGAATCATGGAGCATTCTTAGTTTTTCACAGGAAAAGTCATTTTACAAAAGTATAAACGGTGCAGTTTGGTGCACATGATGTCACATTGATTCAGGGATGTAACACTGATGTTGTAAAACGATTCCCTTCATAAGGCTTTATAAAACTTATAAAAGCTTGATAAAATAAACTGACACAGTTTGTTTTCTCTTTTTTCTGATAATGTAATGATGTATTACTGTACTTGTCATCATTATTAGAAAACCATGCTGGGACAAAACATTAACGCAACCACTAAGCACACGGTTACTTATTCTAAACACAGTGACTTCATCAGTTCCTCTTCGCAGCTGTTTTTGTGTTTAATAGAACAAAAGCAGATATTGCAGTGCATGTTTTCTTGTGCTCGTTTTTGTTACGACTGTCTGAACTGGGCCATGTAGATTAAAGTGGAGTAGACTCTGGTCAGGAGCAGCAGGTGTTGTGCTCCTTACAAAGGCACCAGTGAACTGATAAGAGGCTTTGCTTCTAAATTTAGAACCAGGACGGCTTCCTGTCCACACAGTGTGAGCAGTGGTGAGTTTCTGCAAAGTTAACTTGTTTTTTAATTGGGAATTAATTACATTTAAACTCCTAAATAAATACGCAATTTTAGATTCTGGATTTGCTTTTCGGATTTGGGGAATTTCATCGCCCTGCGACAGACTGGCGACCTGTCCAGGGTGTACCCTGCCTCTCACCCTAAGACAGCTGTGATAGGCTCCAGCACCCATGACCCTGAAAAAGGATAAGCGGAAGAGAATGGTTGGATCGATGGGAACTTCATCTAGTTTTTCAGCTATGTGTCCATCCTGAAGTCTTGGGAAAATGGAGTGTGTGTAAGTGAATGCAAACAAACCCCCAAATCACACACTGTCATGGTCCTCGGTCAGTTGTTTTCAGCGTTTTGGACTGTTTTGGTTATTTATCAAGAGATGGTTTTTTACAATGTTTAGGTTATTTCCTGTATTGGTTCTCTTTGTGAACTTAGTCCAGTTATTTGTTCCAAATTCTACCCTCAGTGTTTCTCCCTCTTGTGTCAAGTCTGTTGTATTAGGTCACACATCACTTCCTGTTTTATAGAGAGCAGCATAAACACAGTTGAGCAGATTGTGTGAATCTTCATTGTAACTGCATTTTGCGTTTCATTGTTTATAACACAGTTGCTGCAGGAGGAAGAACATGGAACGCTATATTAGATATTAACTGATAAAAGTGTGATTAGCGGTCTGTGATGTATGGAGGAAAAGAGTTACACAGCAAGTACATCAAAGAAAATTAGATGTATTTTATTTTATATGCAAAATGAGAGGAGGCTGAAGGAATATAAATGTGCCTTTAAGAAACATTTTAAGAAATATAAGGAACAACTCTTCTGAACACTGTGCAAAGGGGTCTCGGGATTAGGACTGCAGATTGATTCAGAGGCTCAAATTATGGTCATAAATATTTTGTACTTGTAAATCAGACTGTCTAGTTGTGAAGTGAGTTTTGTAACCTTGTAAACCAAAATATCTAAAATGTGTGCCTAAAAAAGATTTGTATTTGTAAAAGATAATTAAACAAGTTACAAGTTGTTTGGTTAATGTCTGTTTACGGATAGAAGGCAAAAAAATATGTGTGAAGCTCCGTGTTCAAGTTCCCTCGCATGCGTGTGAGTTTCAACTTGCACATACAAATTTTGACAAAATTTTTCTTCCTTTCAGCTGATTGGTCGATGTCAAGTTGTCAGGCGTCCCACTGTAGAGAGAGGGCGAGTGGACCCAAATGCAGGACTCGCAGGCAGATTGAAGGTGTGGATGGTATTTATTAGTGAGGCTGGACGGACAGAAGCTATCTGAAACTGAAAGACTGGCTGACTGAAGTAGACCTGGAAACAGACCTGTGGATTAGACGATGATAAGACGAGGAACTGAGAGAAACTGAGGGTTTAAATACACCGGCTCATGATGGCAAGAAACAGGTGAGTACACACAGCTGGACTAAATCTAACTAATGACACAGGAAGTGGAACATACACACAGTCCGAGGCTAACACAATAAAACAGGAAATGTGAAAACTAAACAGTGATAAAGTCCAATACTGAAAACACTGATAAGAACCGTGGCGCTTTACTTAACTTCAGGTCCTGGAAGGGTAATACATTTTAAAGATGGAGGATGGCGACAGCCATTCTGCGGTGCAGATAGGCATTATTTTATGGTTTAGTTCAGGGGTCAGCAACCTTTAAGACCCAAAGAGCCATTTGGACCCAGTTTCCACGGAAAAGAAAACACTGGGAGCCGCAAATACTTTTTGACATCTAAAATGAAGATAACACTGCATACATTTTTACCTTTATGCTTTGTATAAACAGCTATAAAGTGTTGCTTATGAAATCCATGAAGTGCTACAAAGAAAATGAAATTTTATTTATGAAATGAACACATTTTGAACTCTTAAAAAATTACAAAAAAAAAGACATCCAGCTGAAGGTCTCTTTTAAATGAATGAAAAGCTGAACTGAAATTGTCCATGTAGTAAACAAAAAGTGAGCCCTCATTCTTATGTCACCTTTGGGCTTGCCCTGAATTTTAAAAATAATTGGAAAAAAGTACTATGCTGCTAAAAAATGGTTCATGTGTATGGTGGGGCGTGGCCTGCAGTGCCTCTCCAGGAGAGGTGGATGCATCTGAGCGTCATCTGCAGTCGCGCCTCGCCACCTTACAGTCTGTGCTCTCTCTGCTGTTGTGTTATGTGTCGGGCTCTGTGCTGGAAAGCTAAAGCCAGCTGCATGTGTACAGCAACCGTGTGTGAAAAGTGGTCAATAAAGAGAAGCAGAAAAGCATGTTCATGCAAACATCGTCGGGTCTGCCGTGATATGTTTAACATGGGACTTTTGCTCCTGAATAGGGATGGGTATT